AAGCAAAAATGAAAATTATCCACATCATACATATATCACCTTTATTTAATTAAAAGGAAAAAAAAATAAAAAAAAAATCAGGTGTCCTCCCGTGACCCAAAGCTCAGTATCCCGCGAGCTACAGCTTGCGGTATACTGAGACCGCCGGGACGGATCCTGACATTACTGTCAAGATCCACCCAGCTGCTATAGCGACAGCTGGCTATCTATAGGCAGAGCCAGCTGTACCCGCCCCCCTACCCCGTCCGTTCCGCCAGTCAGCGCTGGAGGATCGGACAGGGGAGGGGGGGAATCTCTGCAGGGAGAGGATCGAGAAGTGAGCGAGCGACGGTATGTGTTCGCTCACTTCCCAATCTATTGAGCCAACGTGTGACATTTTTATTGTCACACGTCGGCTTGAACTATGGGGCTGAGTGATTTTCACTCACCGCATAGTTCTCCTTTAACTGCCTCCGGGCCGGCAGTAGTAGAAAAACGGCCGGCCGGGAGCTCTCTAGATCTGAGCAGACGTCTTTAGACGTCCGCTCAGACACGCCCCCTTGCGCGCGCCAAGCGGGAAATGGCCGTTCTTTAAAAACAGGCAGCGATGCCTGTTACCATACAAGCGATCCACCGGCTTTAGAGCCGGCGGATCGCGTGTATTCCGTCACATATTTTGCTATCACATGGGGGGGTTTATTAGCCCCCGTATGTGATAGCAATAAAGTTTAGTGGGGAAAAAAGTTTAGTGGGGGAAAAAAAAAGAAAAAATTTAAGTTCCCCCCCAAAAAAAATTTAAAGTTACACATAAAAAAGAATGTAAAAAAAACAACATTTTTTAAAGTCCCCACCCATACATACACGCATGCAAACATGCATCGGGGGCGCATACGTGCAAAAAAGACGATTGCGCCCATTACGCCGCACATGTTACCTATCGCCGCGAACGTCCGAGTGAGAGCAATAAATCTAGGGCCATCAATCACTGATAACACTAAACTAAAGAGCAGTAAAAGCTTTTAAAGTGTCGCCTGTGGCCAATTTTGGGTATGGTAGTTTTCTGCAATTTCGCGGGTGCGCGCAATTTTAAAGCTAATATTTTCCTTCACTTCCTGTCCCATACACACACACACACACACACACACACACACACACACACACACACACACACACACA